TGCACCTGGCCTTGGCTAAAGGGGAGGATCTGTCCAATGTCTACTGAGGTGTGTGTGTGTGTGTGTGTGTGTGTGTGTGTGTGTGTGTGTGTGTGTGTGTGTGTGTGTGTGTGTGTGTGTGTGTGTGTGTGTGTGTGTGTGTGTGTGTGTGTGTGTGTGTGTGTGTGTGTGTGTGTGTGTGTGTGTGTGTGTGTGTGTGTGTGTGTGTGTGTGTGTGTGTGTGTGTGTGTGTGTGTGTGTTAACTTGTCCACACTACAGGGTGTGTTTTCCTTTAATGAATAATCATTCCATTGGCTGGTATTTAGCTCACTGCTCTGTCTGAGCAGAAAAGAAACCCTCATGCTGATTAACGAAAGCTTCAGATTTGTCATTCGTGTGACAACCCACGCCTTCTTCTAACAAAAGCATGACGTTCTTTGCTGTTTTTCTTTTCCCAGAATAAGTCCTGGCAGAAATTGAAGACCATGGTTCACTGGTCCCCTTTCGTCGTGTCCTTCAAGAAGCGTTACCCATGGGTGCAGCTGGCTGGCCATGCAGGTATGCATAAATATACATAACTGTGCACAACATCCCTAAAAATGCATTATTTTATCTTCAGTCTTTAATCTTCATTCTGTGTGTCTCCTTCAAGGTAACTTCCAGGCCGGGGAGTTCGGACGCTTATTGAAGCGATACTGTGAGTGTGAGCAGCAGTGCCTACAGAAGCTGATGAAGGACACTCTGCGCCCCCATGTGCCTGGTTATTATGGTGTCGTACAGAGAGACGAACAGGACTATAACCTGATGGATGACCTGCTGGCTGACTTCGACTCACCCTCCATCATGGACTGTAAGATGGGCAGCAGGTAAAAATTCAGTGCAGCATGAAGAAAACAACATTTTCCGAGACCATTTTTACAACAGAAACCATTTTATCTGAGCTTATCTTTTGCTTTTGGGAGGCACAGTAAGCCTTGAAAACAGCCTTAACACAGTCTACTCCCACCAGTTTTCCACCTCTCTCTCGTGTTTATATAATAGTGGCTGTATTTGCATTCAACATAGTGCTTCACAGGATTAAAAGAGCAGTAAAACTACTAGAAAATAACAGGACATGAGACATAAAATCAAGTAAAAATCAGATTAAAATAGTGAAGTATTGAAATACATTAAAAAGAAACTTTATCTTTTCAAAATGTAACAGTAAGCCTTTTTTTCCAGGACGTACCTGGAGGAGGAGCTGTTAAAAGCCAGAGAGCGTCCACGTTTGCGGAAGGACATGTATGACAAGATGGTGGCGGTTGACCCCGGAGCCCCCACTGAGCAGGAGAGGGCCCAGCAGGGAGTCCTGAAACCCAGATACATGCAGTGGAGGGAGACACTCAGCTCCACAGCCACCCTGGGCTTCCGCATCGAAGGCATTAAGGTCAGAGGTCACCCTAGACATCCAGCCATTCCTGGCTGTAGTGCTCGGTGCTAGTGAGGAAACACACAGTTTCTACAAGAAGTAAATCAGTGGGAGTAAATATTTATCAGCATATTCACCGGTAGACCACACATGCTGGAGTGGAACTGGAAGAGACTTAAAGTTTTTGGCTGGCTGTGCAGCCATGAAGAGGACTGTTTGTTCTTTCCAAATTAAATCCAGGGCAGGTTATCAGGGCGTACCAATAACTAAAGATTGACATGTTACTCAGACATAAATAAAAATATCGGATGACATACTGAGCATTTCAAGCAGCTGACTGTTGCTTTATTTTCCAGTCAAACAGGTATAAGCAGTCCAGCTTTGGGAGTGAAAGTCCTATTTATATATTTAAACAATATTTGTTTATTTTATCTTTAGCAAAACACAAAACTAGGACATGTACTTGTCCTGATGCTACTGCACTGAATACTCAGCAGGTAATAAAAGAGCTAGCAGCTGGAATGAATCAGGAAGCTTTAAACAAATTACTGAATTGAATTATTGTCCTCAGGCAGGTCAGAAAATTATACAAATTTAATAATAAAGCGAGAGAAGAACAGCACATCTTATGTTTTCTTTCTTTCTACAGAAGGCTGATGGGACTTGTAACACCAACTTTAAGAAGACAAAACACAGGGAGCAAGTGATGCAGGCCTTGGAGGACTTTGTAGGTGGCAACACTCAGATTCTGGTACGTTCATAATTCACTGCTGCTTTTTGTTGTTTCAAGAAAGTTTTTCTTTGTTTTGGGGGAGAAAAAATAAAGTTTGAGATATATGCTCATTTAGTTTTTAACTGAGAGTTAGATTAGACAATTGATACCACTCACATGCCTGTACAGTACATAGGAAGGTTAGTTTAGCTTAGCATAATGATTGGAAACAGCTAGCCTGCTCTGTCCAAAGGTGAAACATCCAAGATATAGATATAAAGTGGTAATTACTGAGCTTTAGAGCAGATCAAACTACTGTGCATCAAGGAAGGATATAAGGTTTTAGCCTCACGGTTAAGAAGTATGAAAAATGTATTTCTTGCTTCATTTTGTAACTTCCCTTCTGCTCTTCTTCTTAGAAACTCTACCTGCAGCGGTTGGAGGAACTTCGATCAGTCCTTGAGCAGTCAAACTTCTTCAGGACACACGAGGTGAGACACCTACACCCGCTCTTCGGGATTTCTAAACAAACCTATTGGCAGAGTTGAACATTTGTGATATCATCCCTTCATTAGCTTCTGTGTTGAATCACCATAACTCATCGGTCTCACTGCTTTCTCCATCGCAGGTCGTGGGCAGCTCGCTGCTGTTTGTGCACGACGCCTCGGGGAAGGCCAGAGTGTGGATGATCGACTTTGGGAAGACGGTTCCACTGCCAACCCCTCGGACCCTGGACCACAGGACTCCCTGGGTGGAGGGCAACAGGGAGGACGGCTACCTGTGGGGACTGGACAACCTCATAGACATCTTTAGCAGTATGCTCCCGCAGACGCCTTGAGAGGGAGACTCAGAAGACTGCAGTGAAACATTAGTCTGTGTCCAGATGGTGGAAGGGATTCAAGATCAGGAGAAAACACAAACTGACAGAGGAAGCATCAGAAGAGGGCCCCCAGTTTGATGACTTTTCATGACCCGCGCCATGATCCAAGTGTCTTTATCCAACTGCACCTGTGTAAGAAGAAGATGAAGACAATCCTGGGATTTCTATTGCAATGTGGAAAATGCCAAAGGCCGACATCACGCATTATGCTCCATTTGTGGAACTTGGGCACAGATGACCTGCGATGAGTTGAGGCAAAAAGTAGAAAGAGGGACAATTTAATTCAGAACTGTAACTTTTGTCACATGGACTGTGGCTTATTTTGAGAGAATACAGTCCTCTGACAGTCAGTTCTTCCTGCAAAGGTATTTAACATTGCTCATCTCCCTCCTCAACGTCTCCCTCTGTTGGTCAGAGTAGCTCTTTGCACTCACATGACCCAGAGGTATATGAAACCCTTTTAAACAGCCATCGAGGAGCATTGGGTAGGGAGATTTATTTTTGTCATGGACCACTTTTGATGTCACAGCAACACTAAAACACTGGTCAGACCACGTGTTAACTAACTCAGTGTGTAAATACAAGTTTATTTAATGTTTTTTTGGCCTTGGTATAACCTCCTTTACCTTGTTTGTACAATTTCTGTGCCTCGCATTTTTAAAGAAAGAGCTGTTTGATCATTCCAGTGTAGTGGACTCGTGCTGTTTTTCTTCCAAAAAGTTCACCCAAGTGTAAACTGATTTGCATCTAATCCCAAAGTTTAACTTCAAATAGAAAGTGTTTTCTAAATTTGGATTTTTGTATGATAATGCAGTGAAGTTTGTTTCTTTATTTTTTCATTTAACTGTACAGTAAGCAGCTTGGCAGCCATGTTTGTCTGGAATTTGTTGCACTATGGATCCTCACAAAGCCATTGAACAAATCAAGCAGTGCCTCTGTGTCTTAAGATGGGAAGCAGCAGTCAAGTACTGGGTTTACAGATGCAGACATTTAGAAGTTCAACATGAATTCAATTTGCTGTTCTCACTTCATTCTCTTTGATCAGTGTTGCTTTGGATTAGCAGGGAGTTTTACAGTGAAGCAGTGGTGTCAAGGGTGAAATGAAACTGGATTTACCTGATTAAACTGATTAGTCTGTTAAGCCTTTTGTAAGGTTTTACGGATGTATCAACTCACACAACTGGAAATTTTGTGTATGCGTCTTAAGATTCAAGGGGTGATAAATAATTGAACACAAGAATATTGCTTTTAAACACGAGGATGCTGCAGTAAACCTAATTTAGCTACACTAAATACAGTCGAGGTTTCCAGGAAGACTGCAAGTTTACAAAGAAAAAGCATTGTTATATTTAGACATTAAGTCAGTGCTTATGACCATATCTGTCATCTGCATTCGGGGAACGTGGCAGGTTGGTGAACATAAGAGTCTCGATTCTTCCTGTCGTCCCTCAACAGTGTCACACAGCACTGTTTGTGTGTGTGTGTGTGTGTGCGTAGGCGGTTCACTCAGCACACATTTTCTACAGGAGAGCTGCAGATCTCTGACTTCATCATATTGGAATTTAAATTCAGGCATGCGGTTTTTTCATTTCTGAAAAGTAAACCTACTGGGAGACAGAAATAATAGTGTTTACAAAGTATTATATTTCATTGCCCACAAATCCTTTATATTTGTAAAATGGCAAACTATCAGGTTTTCGAACTGGGTGCTGCTTTGTAAGCAAGAAAACTGGATTCATAACCACATTTTGTATTTTTAAAAGGCAGTGTATTTTAAAGTCGCAAAACACAGACTGGTGAAAATTGATATTAATTCCCTGCTTTGTCCAGGTCATGGATTGCAATAAACTGGAAATAAGAGTTTTCGGAGTTTGTTTTTTGTTCTCTTTGTTTCTCCAAACACACACAACTCAGACTATTCAGTTCTGTAAACCTCAAACTGACATTAGTTTCAGTGTCTAAACATTTCTTTTACTGAATATACCAGAACATTTACAGGTAGGGAATCAAGATGACAAAATAATGAATCAAGAATTTAATTTGCTGTATAAATATATATATTCCTTTCAGTCAGTGATGTATTAAGCACCAAGAGATTTTAAACCTGCAAGACAAAATTTAAATTCTCCATAAAAACTGTATTCAGTTTATCAACTTAAATAAAAGTAATGTACACTGATAAGTGTATCTTCTGGAGATTGTTAAACTGAAAATAACCAGATAAAAATTTCTGTTTTTGGTTTATCCAGTGAAAAAGAATCTAGCTTTTCTCATCATATTGATGCAACACTGTAAATCAAATATTTTTGATGATGTATTAAGGCATGCATCAAGTTGCCCACACCACTCTTTGCAAACAAGAGACTTAAAGGGACTTGATGACCCCAGTATAGCAGAATATGTGGATACCTAATTTAAATAATCTCCTATTGTAACAACATTTAACCATAACAACATCAGAACTGTTGAAAACAGCATAATTACTGAACACTTTGAAGCCCTTTTGGATTGATTCAAATACTTGAGGATGTCAGGCACACATCAGATTGTCTATAACCCACAACTGTAAAAACAAAACCCAACTTTAAATGTGTTGAACTGGTATCAGTAACATTGCACCGTGAGAGTTCACTCAACAGATCAGAGTGTTTTCTGAGTCTTAGATGACAGCCATTGTTCTCCACACAACCTGCATCACACTCATTCCTGCTCCTGTGTCCTTGTGTGCAGCAACACAGCCTGTCCAGCCAGCCCGGCTTCCACCCCTCCTTGAGGAACCACATACCGGCTCTCGTCATCAGCTCTCTGAGGGTCCATTGTCTTCAGCTGATCGTTGCTCTGAGCTACGCTGTCCAAACTCCACAGCTGGTAACGCAGGCTTTTACCCTGCTTAGCCAGGATGTAAACCTCTTCAACCGCTGTGCTACCGACAGGAGACGGAGAGCTGCTGTCAGTGGCGAGGGAGAGCCAGGGTAGAGTGGGATCAGGTTGAGTGTGCTCTTTGATCACGCTGCCTGGCTCCAAACCCAGGAGAACACCTAGAACGAACAGACATAGTTACAGTGTGGCATATTGATGTTTTTAGCCTGTAGCCTGGTCAGGCTAAGGCTTAACCAGTGTTACAATCAATCTGTTCCCCCCCCAAAAGGTTCCTTTCTTCCCTTTAGTACTGCACTGTGAACATGAGCCAGTTTCCAGTACATGTAAAGTTCATGTTACGTAATGACAGAAATGAATTTATTGGATTTACACTGCAAATGCAGCAAGTGAAAGAACGTATTTAAGGAGTATTTTCAGTCTATGGAGGCTGTTATGTTACCTGTACAAACCAGAAACACAAGTCAACTGATACAGAACTTGTTTCTAAAGAATGCTGATTATCTTATTGTCGTGTAGATCCCATTTTATGCATCAGAGTTGTTTAATAGTATGTTGCATCTAATACATCTGCGTGTATGTTCATTTTCAGCAATACTTGAACCCACAATGTCATAAATACGAGAGGAACGCAACAATAAACTGATCAGCTGATCTCTGAGTTCATCTCTATTTCTGAATTTGCTGCTCCTACAATATGTTGCCAAAAGTTCTCTTTTGCTGTTTATTGCAATGATTTTGTGAGTTATATTGCTTTAACATTTTACTCGGTTTAATATGTGTTGCTTTGTGGCCTCAAACATACAGTTTAGTTTTAACATGTCTGTTCTGAATCTACACTTGATGTATCACATTAGCTCAAAACCAGCTTCATGAAACAGTCCCGGTTCAGTTTGTTCGATGAATTCAAAACACAATAAAACCTGATTTTGTGAACCAGCTTCATGAAACGGTGCTCCTGTGAGCGAGCTATCCAGTCTTACCTGAAGCGACTGCCCAGTGCGCCCTGTGGCCGCTGCGCTGGCACGGCTCGTGGTTGTAGTCCTCGTCATATCTGTACATACTGTCAAGGAATTTTGTCCTGTCATCATGAATTTTCCATGACATGGCAGTTTAGTTTGGGTGTAGGATACGGGATGAGAACAGGCTGTCTCCCCCACAGGTGTGTGATGATGGTAGCAGCATTATTACCTCTTAAGCCCCCTGACAGCAGTTCTGCCTTACAGCCACAAACCTCCTCTGCCAGCAGGGCCATGTTTTCAGCTGACAATATAAAAATCTTAATGAGCACATAAGGAAACCAAAATAAAGTCAACACAGTGTGAAATGGCATTTGAGTTGCTTGTGACACTTAAAGAGTGAATTGATACTGAAACTAGTTTTTAGTTGCAAACCTGCTTATACAACTTTTTTTAAATTACACCAAGCATCTGTTTCTAGAGTTTAATGTCATATTTGCACTTCTGGCATTACTCAATGAAGTCAATGTATGTATTTTGCTGTGCTTTCACAAGATTTCTGCTGCCCCTGAATAGAAACGGGTGACACATTATGACAGAAACACGCCCCTCTTTCCTCTTGTTCCATTATTTTCTGCACCACTCACTGGCCCAACAACATTTACACACTTTTGTTACCTGAAAACATTTCACCCTGTGCCGTGTATCCCCTGCTCAATGCTGTTTGAACCACAGTTTCCATGTCAACACTCAGCTGTGGCTGACGAAGGTGAGCAGACATCCACAAAGCCACCAGACCACACCTAAAAGTAAATTAATAACAAACTCACAGTCACACCTTGGCAACAGAAAAAAACAATAAAAGCATTCAGGTCAAATTAGAATCACAATAGAGCCATTGTACATCGAGCAGTCGGGGTAACAGTTTGATTATTGTTATACAAGGTGTGACTTAACAAGTCTTAGACTGAGATTACTGACTTACTGTGGACCATCTTGGATGAGTGAAGGCACATATGTGTTCACCAGTATCCACTGCAGGTCCTTCCTAAAACTGAAGCACAAAAACACAGTGTAACATAAATACACATTATTACATTAACACACATTAAGACATTTTCATGTTACAGTAAGAAAATCTCAGGAGTAAATAATAAATTAACGATGGCTCACTTTCATTAGCTGCTTTGGTTTCAGGGTCCTGAACACTTATAGAACGGAGACATCAATAATGTTAATAGAACTGTACTTTTCATCCTATCCTATGAAAAGTACAAATGTTAGCTGTGAAAAAGACCTTTAAATCTGTTCTTTGTGAGATTTATAATATTCACTTTGTTCAATTTTTGAGGTAAGTGTTGGTTCAGAATTACATATATTGTCGTGTTGCATACTGTCGACTATGTACTGTAAATGAGGTGGACAAAATATTAGGAATACCCTCCAGTATAAAGCAGTCCAGTGCAACATCACTAGAGCGGCCAATAACGATTCTCAATTACTCGATGAACCGCTCCAACATCATGGTAAGAAAATTACAACCACAATTTCCTAAATCCCTAGGTGACTTCTTTAAATTACTTTTTAGTTTGACAGTGAAAAACCTGAAAATCACACACAAGAAAAGCAAGAAATCTTTAGAGCTGAGAGGCTGGAATAAAAATAAGATTTGGCATTTGTAATTAAAAAAAGAGTCTCAAAAGAGTTGACCCAACAAAAGAGTTAACGCCTCTCTGACAATGTCAACAGAAAAGTAAACACAAACTTCACAAAGGTAAGATTTGTTGCAGGAAATTGAGTATGTGTGCTCAAACGTGTCAAACTAGTTATAACATCTGATACAGATATCAGCTATGTAATGTAATGAGATGAAGCATGACAATGTGCACCAGGTACTGGATGTGGAAGTCATTGCTTGGCTCATGAGGATTTCAAACAAGTTGCATGTGCAGAAATTAAGCCGTTGTTGGGACTGCAGACTTCATTTTATGTAAAATATGCCAACACACCCAGTAGGAGGTGTCTGCTCATTAAGAATCTCACCTGCTCTCCCTCTGACCGAGCAGTAAGCGAGCCTCTGTGTGGTCCCCCTCTACAGGACTCCTGCTACTGGCTATAGTCTGATACAGCTTCTTCAAAGAGGCTGAGACTGGAGGAGGAGGTGGTCCAAGAGCAGGTGGAGGAGGAGGTGGTCCGAGAGCAGGTAGAGGAGGAGGTGGTCCAAGAGCAGGAGGAAGAGGAGGAGGAGGTGGTGGTGGAGATGTCATAATGCACTCCAGTGACATCTTTCCTGAGCTCCTTTTGAATGACAGAAGAAGCTTGGGTTAGTATTTTGTGCACATTTGCAAAGAGGGGAGTTACAGCAGCTCCTGACTCCGACACACTCGCCCAGCAGTGTAACTCACAACCATATCCGCCCACCTCCCACTGTCTCCTACCGCTCACAACTTAACTAGAAGCTCTGTTGCTTACAAACAACTTCATTAAAAGCTGTTTGGGAAGAAACAACGTAACTCCTGTTAACGACTATCGCTCACAAATAATAGTAATGAGCTTGTCATACTTCACACGGTCGACTCTACACCTACGTTCAAGGCTAGCTGCTAACAGCGCCGGTGTTATGTCCATATATGGCAGCAGCCGGTTTTTTTCTTCTTCTGCTTCCTAATTATTGTAGGATCACACACACCAGCGGTAAAGGGTCACAGCGCCCTCGACTGTATGTTGTGGTAAAAATGACATTAACCAAATGAATGCTGGCTAAAATTATTTATATCAGTCCGAGTAACTGCTGCGTATCACTACATGTAAAAAAAGACGGTTTAAACAGGCGACAAATGAGCGCTAAAGTAATATTTACAGTAACAGGTGTTACACCACATTCTGTCACCTGTGCTATTTGAATCTGACTTCCTCTCTGTGCCTTTCTACGGGGTCCATTTTTGTTAATCGCGGCTATATAATAGTGTGGTCCTGTGTCAATACTATAGTAGCACCGTGTTTGTTAACAGCAGCTATCAAAATGCAGAAACTATGATTAAAAAAAAAAATGTTTCCACTGAATCTGTCGGGTAACAGAATTTAGTGTAACACCGGAAACGGCCGTTTGTAGCTGTTATCGCGAGAACAGAGCACGGGATTTGTGAAGGCCGGGACTTTCATTCATCATTCCGAGGTGAGTATTTCTTTCTCATCGATCACATCGCGTTAAATAACCTTTATTTTGGGATATCAAGACGTTTTGCAACCCATTTGTAGAGTTAGGTATCTATTTAAATGTTTTCTGTGACTTAAAGAGGAGTCAGACGTAAGTACGAGCTGGATCAAACGTTAGTAAGCGAAATGTTTTAGCTGTAGCTAGTAGTTAGCTTTTAGGCTAACGTTATTCACGTTGGATGGCTGAATGCTAACGTTAGCTAGATGTTTAGCAGGCAGTCGAAACCTGTGCTTCAACCTGGTTTAAAGGGAGTATTTCAAGTTCCTTTATCTCATCCACAGGTTAAAAGATGGCCACTCCGGACGTACGGCTAAATCACACCATCTACATCAACAACTTGAATGAGAAAATCAAGAAAGATGGTGAGTTTATCTTCGTCTTCTAGCCTTCAGGTTCAGGCTTCAGTTAAATACACACCGCGGATAGAGAGCCTCTTACATCAAACTAACGGGGTCGCTCCTTTGTTGTGTTCCCGCAGAGTTGAAGAAGTCGCTGTACGCCATCTTCTCTCAGTTCGGACAGATCTTGGACATCTTGGTCGCACGAAACATAAAGATGAAGGGTCAAGCCTTTGTTATTTTCAAAGAGGTCAACAGCGCTTCAAATGCTCTGAGATCCATGCAGGGATTTCCTTTCTATGACAAACCCATGGTAGGTCCAATGCAGTGAACACCAGATCACCAAGAAGCTTAACAGAGGACACTGTAACATGTAAACTGTGGTCTGTCTCTTCCTCTTGCAGCGTATCCAGTATGCCAAGATGGACTCAGACATCATAGCTAAAATGAAAGGCACATATGTGGAGCGTGACCGTAAAAAGGAGAAGAAGAAGATCAAAGGAGCCGATACAGCTGGAGCTAAGAAGGGTGTACCGGGAGCTGCTGCACCCATGGTTGCTGGTGTACCTGCTGCCATGCCTGTAAGTGGGGCAATAGGTGGTTTTGTTGGTAATCATTTGGTAGAATTAATATTAATAACAGAATTACATAAGTTATTGTGCAAGTAGCAAACTCTTTTTTTCCCCCCAAACTGGGTCTGACACCAAGATTCTTCAAGTTCTTGTCTCATTTGTGTTTCTAAGCAAAGTGGTAACAAAAACCTGATGCTAAGATTGATAAGAGTGAAATAATAAGAGAGTTATAGGAGGCATCATCTCTCTTTGTCTCGATATAGCCATACTGACATCTAACGATAGAGAACAGTGAGTTTTCATGCTGTACACTAAAAAGTAGCATGCAGACTCCCCAGGTTTGGGTGGAGCTCATTGATGGTGTTAGAGGCAAATGTAGGTGTATACATGGAAAATGTCATCACAGCTACTGGTGCGCTCATATCTGCCGTTCTTCACCCTCTAGGGAATGCCTCCAATGAGCCAGGCTCCACGTATGATGCACATGCCAGGGCAGCCGCCTTATATGCCCCCTCCTGGCATGATGCCTCCTCCGGGCATGGCACCTGGCCAGATGCCCCCTGGTGCCATGCCTCCAGGCCAGATGATGCCCGGACAGATGCCTGGACAAATGCCCCAGCAGGTAGTGTGTGTCCTGCGTTCTGAACAAGCACGTTGTCACTTGTTGATGTTGTAATTTTGTCCTTGTGGTTTTATTCTGACGTCTACCGTCTTTCATCCTCACAGGTTGCAGAAAATCCTCCGAATCACATCCTCTTCCTCACCAACTTGCCAGAGGAAACAAACGAGCTCATGCTCTCCATGCTCTTCAACCAGTCAGTACCAGCTCCTTTTCTGCATTTCCTGTTTGTATTTGTCTGTTTGTGGATTGCTGATGTGGCTGTATTGTTGTTGTGTGTTCAGGTTCCCCGGGTTCAAGGAGGTGCGTCTGGTCCCTGGTCGCCACGACATCGCCTTTGTGGAGTTTGACAATGAAGTGCAGGCCGGTGCCGCACGAGACGCACTGCAAGGCTTTAAGATCACACAGGCAAACGCAATGAAGATCTCATTCGCTAAGAAATAACCTCAAGACCGTTGTTTCTTGCATGCTCTCACACACACACACACACACAGCTTTTTTATTAATGTTCAACAGTGACCCAAACTGTGAAACATTTTTTTAGAAAATTGACATTTGCTGATCATTGCAGCACGAGAGGTGTACCTTTCTCTGCTTCTACGAGGATTACATGTAAGTATACATTGTTTGCATCAAGCTTTGTTTTATCGTGTCACACTGTTCATCCCACTGAGAAAAGTTCATGACGGTATCGCAGCTGGTGAAATCCATGTCATCTCTTTCGGTTTGCTTGTTTTTACTGTTTGTGATGAAGCATTGCACCCAGGGTCTGGTCTACCAGACATTGTACCTGGAGCTTTTTATTTTTAATTAAAACCTTACTTTGAGACTGTGCTCTTCCTCACTTCTTTGTGTTTATGTTGCAGTGTGAGTTCATCCTGGGCCAACAGATGGTGCTATAAACCTACTTTCTTGTGCCCCTGTTGTTAACGGTGTGTTGCATCGCAGTAGTTGGGTAAAGGGATGGATGGATGGGTTAAACTGTTTAAACAGTAAATAGTTTCTTGAGCAATCCAACTGATGTTGTTCCCATCACTTTTTGCTCTTATATTGCATTTACGAAGACGGTGTATATACTCATTTATTTTTTATTTATTACATTAAGCTGCAGGAACTGAATAAGTGGTTGTTTCCAACTCACTTAAAATATCTAATTTAACTCACTCATTGTTGCAAATATTGGTTTTAAAACCTCAAAACTAACTTAAATGCCAAGTAAGTGTTCAAATATTGTTTGAAAGAGTAAATCCAACATTACCTGCAGCCATACAGCAAAAAGTAGTACTGCTGCACTCAAAGTCTCCACAATAAGAAACATATGATGCAACCGGAAGTTATAATAAACAAATTCACCTTAAATCTTAAAATTAGGAATCTTAATTCTTTAACAAAAATTCACACCTCACCTTGGCTTCGCAAACAGAAAAACAGGATGCACTGACTACACTAAAGCCTCACTTTTGTTCTAGATATTTGAATTCTGTTTTTGTGAAATAGCCTTCAGGGGAGCCCATCTTGAACAATAAAATGGCAAACTCTCAGCCCTCTGTAGGACAAAGCTGATTATTGGAATCGTCTGTATTAGTCAGCAGCGGAGAGAAGGTCATTGATGTCAGACAACAATAGTCCTCCGCTGGACTCGGTCTCAGGATGCTGATGTTACATTGCGCCCACATTCTTCACAAAATTGAGTCTTTGTAGAAAATTGGAATTTTTGTCCTCAGAAAAAAATAAAATATTCCATTAGACCTTTTATTTATGAGAAAATAGTCCAACTCTTACTGCTGTGTTCAAAGCATCGTAGGCCTCCATACAAATCCTCATATCCCTCCTGCTTGTGAAGTAAACTAATTAGAGTCTCTTTCAATTTGTGCATTGAGGAACACAGTACATGCCCAAACAAACCGTTTTTATCTTTATTTGTCCTTTTTGCTCTGTTCTTTGTGTAATAAACCAGAAGCAGATTAATTTTTCTTTTTTTAAATCAATCAGATTACATCGTTTGATGGCTAATCTTGAGCCATCATGCTTTGCCAATTTTTTGTATCGTAGCATTTCCTTCCTCTGTTTCTGGTCTAAGGCTTAATGGCTTTTTACCCTCGAGTAATTCAGAAACCAGAGAAGAAAAACTTTTGCTCTGTCATTGAGTTGTAAACGCTGGAACTGCTCGACTGACAATGAATTAGAGGCTTAATAATTTAATTGTGAATTCATTTGTTCAGTTATGGGAACACACCTGCATTAGTGTTGATGTGTGTAGAAACACTAATTAGACAAAATCAAGTTTCATCTGTCATTTCTGGCTTTGGGTGTTCATATAAAACATTAATTTAACAAATAAGATTAAAATTAATAGGTTCTACACAGATATTTGAAGCCACCGGTGCACAAACACTAAGAATGGACTTTACAGTGAAGTAGGAGACATCTTGCATTTTATTAATGAGGCGGAAGGAGTAGATGTCTTTTTAAGGGTTTTAGTGTGAACATTATACAGTTTTTTTTTTTTTTTTGCATCTATCAGACACACATTATTTCTCCAAGCAGACTATTTGTCTTTATACACATCTGGAGGGGATCTGTAAGTACCAACACCACAGTGTAAAAACATTCAGTTACAAGTAAAAGTTCTCATAATGCAGGCAGACTGGCCCAATGCCAATGATTGATATGCTCATTTACAAATTATAATCTGAAAAGCAAATTAAAGCTGTCAGATAAATGCAGTAAAAACTTCTGTGATGTGAAGTAAAAGTATAAAGTAGAGTGAAATACTCTGAGTTATGATTATGTTTTATAAGGACTGTGTTTAAACAAATATCTAAATGGGTGCAATCTCTCAAATGTTCACAATTGTCTGGGGTTTGCAATTAGTAAATGCCTGCTGTATGTTTCAGCAGCACATCCCTGAAGGCCCCTCGCAGCCTTTGCGTACTCTAGGTTTGCAGAGTAATTACATGCCAACAACAAGGACCACCTCCTCCTCTCAAAGGCTGGATTCATGAGTGTGGGACAGAGTGATGTGTGAATTAGGCCTGAAAAGCTCAATTTAGACTTGCACTATCAACTGTGCCCGACGCACACAGGGCCTCCCTGTTGTGGACTTAAACTGTGCCCTGAGTAATTGTCTTCAGGTCAGCTCAACAGTGTATACAGAAAATGCACATTCTTCTGTAGTTTCCCAAGCCTTTCCACACTCCCTTATTTTGCCTTGAGAAAGCACTGACCTTAGCCACCAGGGTGTGTGTGTGTGTGTGTGTGTGTGTGTGTGTGTGTGTGTGTGTGTGAGAGAGAGAGAGAGAGAGAGAGAGAGAGAGAGAGAGAGAGAGAGAGAGAGAGCGAGAGAGCGTGTGCACGTCTCGCAAGCTCTTGGCAACATGCCTAGCGCCTTCTCATTCACCAACACAGTGATCTTTCAGTTGCAGGGACTGAAAAGCAACTGATCCGGTGGGTAATGTGTGGGAGTTGTCCGTCAGTGTCACAATGAGATCAAAAATCACCCCTAAAGACCATATCAGCTTGTGACGATGCATATCTGCATCCGTGGGCTCTGTTTGACATCTAAGGGCTTGTGGCATGTGTGTTGTTTGTCATTGGTGGTCATAAGTTCACTTCTAATGCTGTCTGTGCCAGTGGTGGGCTGTTTAAGGGGCACCAGCAGGCAGGAAGTTGTGAGGCATTTATGGTGAAACAGCTTAGTCTGGGTTCAGATGAGCACCCTATAGGGCACTTTATCGTGTTTTACATAGAGGAACCAAAAAGGTTTTTTTTTTTTAACATAGGCGCACCAGGGGGGAGATCATACACTAGTGGTGCCACTTGTGAAGGGTCAACATTTGTCCCAGAAACCCATTAAGACCCCTTAAACCCTACTCACCCACTTCCTTCATTTAAACTCATGCTTTGTGGTTAAACAGAGCTCAAAAGCCCCGAGCTTTATTTTTAAATCGAGATCAGCTGTTCTGAAATTTGTGCAAATGTGTGTCATCTGAAACACGTGATGTATTAATATTAAATATTTCACTCAGTTTTAACGTCATGGCTTTAATAAAGAGTGAACACACTGATACAAAAGTGATAAGTGGTATTTGACGGACACAGTTTACATTAGAAATAGCAGGAAAACATGGGGAGGGTCACATGCAACAACAGTTCTCAACCAGAATCAAACCTGGGATACAGTTTTATATGGTATGTTTTATTACACCACTAAACCACAGGGACAACATTGTCATTATCTTTAAATATTTATAAGATTAAAAGAAAGCCTTTATTGATTTGCCAGAGAGAAAATTAATGTGTTACAGTTGCACAAGGGCAGAAAAAGTACACCTAGAGCAACAAAAAAATAATAAAAGAATATAAAATAGGAAAGCTGTCATTGACTTAAAAGCTCTTCCCAAGAGGACACATGTGTCCAACAGATGGTGCCAAATACACAACTCTCAAGACTTCAATGTAGGTGAGGAAACCCACAGAGTTTAGAGGTTGCAGATTTCTGGTGACTCTTCCTCAGGTGATCCACACACAGCCGCCTCTGAGCAGACCCACTAATGTCTGTGTGCTTCCGGATGGTTGGTTAGAATTCAGCTCATGTTTGGAGGTCACTGCTCCTCTATGCAAATCAACTCTGTGCTCCTCAAGAGCCCTCTGTTCTGCTCCGGGGTCACTGCAGAGTGCCAGGCCGCGGAAACACCAGCGGTTGTCAGGGAAGCTCTTGAGCAACAAGCCCGTACTGGATAGACCTTAAGATGTAGGAAGGAGGAGGAGGAGGAGGAGGGAGGCAGAATCTCATTAAATGTTCTCCTCGATGAAGAAGGTACATTGTGTGGAGGTCTTGGATCCGAAAAGACGAGCACTGGAAGTCAGATGTGGAAAATATGCCATGTGACCGGTGCCAATATTCAAAAAGATGCCTATACACCAGCCTACAATTCTCTTTTATATTAATGCGCTCACCCGGGTAGTTTTTGCAGCCGACGGCGTGATTTAGCATCGGTATGTGCATACAGTAGAGGCCGGCAGCTGTCGGAACAAGCTTAATCATTAATGTGGGCATGACGATTACAATTCAGTGGAAATCAGTCTGCAGGTAGGGGCGTCCGGGCACCTGCGCTACGTGTGCCATCACCGTGAGCAATAGCGAATCAGCTTTAAGAGAAAACACTTTTCAAAGTGGCTGCAGACGAACAGTTTTGTGTCTGTTTTCTGGCTTTTTTCTGTCAACATACGATGTATGTGTGTATTTTAATTATGGAGGGCTTCAGCCTCAAACACCCATAGACACTTCCCCATTAAGAGGCCACTCGAGCAAAGTGTGAGGAAGCGGCGGAGCTGTGAAGTGAGCAGATGCCTGAAACTGGACAGAGGAACCAGTGAGGTACCTGTGAGGAAACAGAAAAAATCTAGAGAGGAGAACCGAAACACACTCAGGATAATCCCGTGCGTAAATGTGACATATGTAGAATTTAAAGAGAAAGTTGGTGCGCAGGTTGCTCAGTGTGCGCAGAGAGGGAGAGAAAGGGATGAGCGCGTTGGTGCGCACTAGGAACCATCCGGACAGGAGCCGAAAGACGGATATTCCCTGCCTCAGGACACACCCTCCCTGCTCTCTCTCTCTCTCTCTCTCTCTCTCTCTCTCTCTCTCTCTCTCTCTCTCTCTCTCTCTCCCTCATTGTTTCCCACACAGACTGTGTCGCCACCGGGCTTCGTATCGAGTTAACAAATGACCAACCAGCCGCTTGGATGAGAAGAGCGCAAAGTGAAATCATTCCGTTGGAGAGACGCAACTTTGGCGGCTGCATCGCCAACATACTCATCGCAAAAGTGGATGAATATAGGCTAGATGTTATTTGGATTTTTTTTGGGTAGATTTTTTGTGCGTGGATCAGGCTTGAAGAAGAAGGGAGAAGAGAGAGAGAGTGTCAGCTAATTGGGATGAGAGTTCAAGTCAAGTGAGCCGGCAGATTGGACCTTTAAAGCCTCTTAACGCAAGGTGGTGGGAGGAATACAGCGCGAGGGGAGTGTGTTTATGTGCCGTGTTTGTGTGCATGTGTCATTCCCAGTGGAAATCCACCCTGGACACAGCGACAAGGGGGTGATCAGGTGTGTGTTTGTGAGTGTTTGTGGGGGATAAATCCAAGCGGAAACAGGGGCAGTTATGGTTTCTCTGACCTGGACGCGATGAAGTGGCTCTGCGGGAGTTTTAGGGTTTAAGACCGGAGAGGAGGAGAGCTGGGCGGACGGACGGACGCAGGGAGGGAGGAGGAGGAGGGGGACACCACCACCGCCAAAGCGCACAACACGGTCCCCAACCCCTTGACGCAGGGATGGAGAGCACAAGAGCGCACAGGGTAACTCGGCTCGATCCCACAAACGGGAGCGGAAAGATCACCGGGAGGCCAGACATGAGGAGTGACCGACACCGGGGACACCTCCACCTGCAGCGGGCTGTGATTTTTCTCGTCGCGCTCACGATACAACCGCAGGTAAGCCACCGATTAAGTGCTATTTCGGGCGGCATGTCCTTAAACCCCCGAGACTGACTTTTAACTTTGGTTTATCCTGTATTTCTTACCACAGCTGCGTGAAAACAGTCAATAATGGAGTCCGCACGCACTGTCCCTTCCCTCTTTGTGCTGCCCTCATTCTGCTCCTACATGGCGCTGTGCCCACCTGTTGTTTCAGCCCGATGGTGTCTATTATCCCACGCAACAGAGAACTACTGTAATCCTGTTTTAGAGTCATGTGGTGCAAATATCACAACAGAAATATGTGTTGGCATAAGATTATTATAACAAAACATTATTTATTAAAAGGATGTCACTGTTTGTACCAAACAGAGTATAATGAGGCGGACAACTCACAAATCAAACATAATAACAGCTTGCAGCTGCTGCATATGATTTATTTCGGGGATTTCAGTCGTAATTAAAACCCTGAATTCTTGGGGTACTGGAGGACAAATAACACCTTAATTACCCCCTACACACCCTCAGCTTCCACTCCTATTCACTGGTAAATGAGTTTGCATTTGCATTTTTCTCCTGCATCTTTGGCACGTTTGCCTGCTGGTTCATTGTCCATTGTTTTTTTTTATGTATAATTTAATGCCACTTTCTGATTTCTCTCTGATTCATGGTTGCATGGAAGCAGACTTCCATCTGTGTGTTATAATGCTTTATAGATGACAGCAGAGTTCAAAGGTCACTGTAATAACTTATAAATTATTCTGGGAAAGCTGTTTGTAGCATTATGGATGCAAAACCACTGAATATTTTTCCTCATTTGGCCTGTGAGCTGTCAAGCAGCTGTCGGCCGATCAGGATGCCTATGATGTGTGACAGCACTCAGCAGTAGCAAGAACAGGCCCACAGGTGCTCCAGAGTGTGTGAACGTGTGTGTGTGTGTGTGTGTGTGTGTGTGTTTTCTCTAAACACTGAGCTCACATCCAGCATCTGTGTCTTGGGTGTGTGTGGAGCCCGGGGCCACAGCCGAATAAACTCCGGGGCGTGTGAATGTTGAACGTTCGGGCAACTCTGCGTGTCTCTCTCTGCACCTCTGCAACCCCTTCACAGCTGAAGAACAACACACTCCACTCCCTCCATTCTCCAACTGCACTGCAGTGTGAGACACACACTAAGGGTCCTCTGCTGCTGCTGCTGACTATTATTAATGCAGAGGACAGGAGTCCATGTTCATCAGGACATTGCCAGACCTACTTAGTGATTCATAAGTGAGGGTGATTGACTCCAGTGGTCACTTCATGTCGTCTATTGTCCAGTTTTATTATTCCCAAGACTCCCAATATGCTGCAGTGTAGTAGGAGTCTTGGGAATACTGTTACAATGTGATTTCCAGCTTTATAAAACCATTTTCATTCGCCTAGTTTCAAAAGGAAGAATCAAAGCTGGATTTGAATTTTTTAAAGCTGTTTCACATAAAACAGAGCATGTATTTGTCATAGTCTTAACAAGCAAATTACTTCCAGTTATAGAGAAGACTACTGGAAAAAAATTATTTTCTGAATCAATTGGTAGTACATTTTGGTCTTAAAGGGAAAGTTCACCCAAAGTTATGTTTTAGTGTGTTTTGCTGAGGTGTTGAGATACTGAAGCTCAGTGGCTGTGGTAATAATACTTTCATCATAAATTAATCTGAAAATCTGTAGAAACAAACAATTCTAAACCCAAATATAGTCAGTTTACTGTCATATAAGTCAAGGAAAAGCAGGAAGTCTTCACATTTGAGTGGCAGGAGAAATTTGTTTGACAATTACCCATGAAAAAATATTTAAATGATCCGATGATTATCAAAATTGTTGCCCATTAAGTGTCTGCTGACAACAACGCCATTCGAAGTGCGACAAAAATGATATTTGAAAGCAATAATGCGTTGGTGCAGATAATCAGTACAAAGAATCTCTCCATTCAACTGTAGCAAGGAATAACCCCGTCATATTTGAAATATATTTGATATTTAAAACATATCGAGAAGTAAGACTGAATTACTTCTGTTTGCGTTGTACAATTGGTGTTGTACTGGTGTGAACTACAGCTGACTCAGCCACACTACATCTCCTTGTTTAAAAGGAAAAATGTAGTTTTATTACTAAATTTTGATGGGTTAAACTCTTCCTTTAACCCTGTACTCCTCTTCTTGTTATAACAGAGTTCAGGTACTAACCAACAACTGTCTTGAAGTCTTTAGATGGAGAGCGTTTGTTGTGAGCCACCCTGAGTTTTGGATGTAGTGATCCTTTAAATACCAATGGTCTCCTGCAGAGATGGTCCGAGCCTCGACTTGGATCTCTCTCTGTCTCCCTCCCTCTCTCTCTCTCTCTCACTCTCTCTTTCTGGTCAGACTGAGCGCTGAAATGCTGGTATGCAGGGAATGGCTCGGGCAGCGAGAGGAGGTAGAGGAAGAAAGGAGGATGTAGAGTGATGAGCGCCACTGTATCTCCACAAACCTTTTGATGTAGACGAGTTCAGCCCCCTCCTCTCTACCATCCCCCTGACCCCTCCTACCTCACCCCCTCACCCCCTCAGCCCCCCCCCAGCTCAGGGACAGGGGCAGGAGAGGGACACGCAGCCAAACACAATGGGGCGACTGAGATTCTGAGATTCTGGCTCACCGTTGGGCAGAAGACAGCCGAAACACGAGAGCTTGTTGGTCGGGGTGATTTTCTGTCCACTATCATGCGTGTAGCTCCGGCGGGGTTACATGTTTCTGTTTCTTGGACTTAATGAGCAATCATTAAGTTCTATGTTTGTGCAGAAATGCCAAAAAGCGTGTGAATTATTCAGATTTATTCATCAGTGGAGATTTCGTGGCAAACTGAGATAACAGGGGGCTTTATTTTATTGTGTTTCCAGTTGTTGAAAGATGCCAAAACCATTGTTTCATTCTGCCACAGTGACACACACACATGCATGCACGCACATACCTGACCCTGGTGCTCCGAGACTCTCAGGGGGTCTTGTTAACTCTACTGTGTGTGTGTGTGTGTGTGTGTGTGTGTGTGTGTGTGTGTGTGTGTGTGTGTGTGTGTGTGTGTGTGTGTATGTGTGTGTCCCCTCCACCCATCTTTAAACAGGGAGGGAACACAGAGAGAAAAGAAAGGGCGGCAGATGAAAAGGAGAATGGCAACAATGCAGAAGAGAGCTGATGGCCACAGAGAGAAATGACAGGAGCGTTACAGCTTGTTCCCAGATAGAGAAAGAAGGAAGGAGAAGGAAGAGTGCGAGCTGGTTCTCAGTGTCATTGTCCCCTGGGAAGAGAGAGTGAGAAATAAGAAGGGAGTGGTGGTGACACATAAAGAAAGAAAGACAAGGAGGTTGAAGGATAAACAGGATTATATGGCAGGAGAGATGGGGTATCTGTCCGTGATTTTTCCTTTCTTGGAGGTCAGGCTGAGTTTTAGGAGTCAAAGTTAAGTCCTCATTTCTTTTTTGTCCTCTGTTTCTCTCACTCATACTAACAAACGAATTAACAGATGATATAGAGGAGACATGCAGGAGACAGAAACATCCAACGTCCATTCTCAAACATTCTTCAAACACCACACACTCATTTATTATTTATTATTTTATCTGTGATGTTTTTATCAGGCACTTCCTACCTGTTATCTATCTTAACTAATGAAGGTCTTCGGATGAGATATCTAAATTGGGCACAAGGGACAGACGGTGTGAAGGATTTCTGGTTCTCTTCCCGGTTTTTGGTCGTGTTTATCTGTCATTAATGACTTTGCAGATTTTTTTTCCTTTAAAGTGAAATTTTGTGTAAAAAAGGTGGTTCTTTACAAAAGTTGCCAGACCATCAATTGAAGTTTAGGGGCCCAATATGGGAGTTAGTGTCCTCACTGTTGAAAGCTGTAAGGACATGCAAACTACCATCTTGTTTTAGTGTTTTTGTGGTCTGAATGATTAAAGGGACAATTCACCCCAAAATATTTGTTTATATATTTGTAGAGAGAGTTATTGCTGTTGAGTTTTTTTTGTGCTTTGCGGTGATTGTATTGGAGAGAAGGCTCGATATCTCAATAACGTTATGGTGAACTGTCTATTTAACAATCTGATGACAGCAAAAACACCCAAGTTAGAGGAATTGTTTGAGATTTTGGTAAATATGCTTATTTTCTGCTTGTCAAGAGACAAGAGAGCTCACGAGCGTGTTTACTTTATTTTTCATCTGTGTGTTTGAAATTAGTATTTATATCTTTCCTTGTCTGTAGCACCTCCTCGTTTTAACCAACATAAAAAGATAAAACACAGCATCATTGTGCAGTATCATTTAGCCACAACCTCTGCTTCCTCCACAGCCCTTTAATTTTATTTTAAATGTCCAGGCACACTCAGATAGACAAACTTTAAAGTGTGCAGAGTGCGGTGATTTCAAAGTCCACACAACCTTAAATTACCCTTCAATTTAATTCACCTGGTCACTTTTGGTTTTTTTTGCATCCATACCAGTGAGAACTTGTAATCTTTCCTTGCACTGCGCCTATTAAAAAACAGGATATATATTAACTCTCTCTCCTCTCTTCTCTCTTCTCTCTTCTCTCTGGACTCAGACTGTGTGTGCTGTCGGGATGTTTGAGCTCCAGATCCGTCACTTCCAGAACCCGCACGGACTTCTGCAGACTGGAAACTGCTGCGACCTCGAGGCCATTGGGGGGCAGCGCTGTTCAGCCAGGGACCAATGTGACACTTACTTCCATGCTTGCCTCAAGGAGTACCAGGCCCGGGTCGTCCCAACTGGAACCTGCACCTTCGGGTCCGGCAGCACTGGGATACTGGGTGGAAACTCCCAGTCGCTCCGCCACCGAGGACACGATGGGGGAGGAGGAGGAGAGGATGGGACTAATGGACACATTGTCATTCCCTTCAAATACGCCTGGCCAGTAAGTACAGGGGCAATGCTGGTTATCACTATGGTTACCAAGGGAACAGGCTAAGCTTCAAGTACAACAATACACTCAAACTGCAGCTAGAGTGGAATAACAATGACAGAGTTCAGGCTCACATGCTTTTACACCTTTCCTGTCTCTCTCTCTCTCCATTGGTGGACGTACTGAAAGGCTGGACGACATGGGAAAAAACCTAATGACCAGAATACCTTCATTGATTTATATATAGTACATCACACTATCTGTTCAAATCCCCAAGTTAATCTAAGGCTTATCTGACAGATTTAGTGACTAGTTACTTTACAAATTAATATTTTACATACAAAAAAAACATACAAAGAGCTTCTAAAATAAGATGCTTTGTTATGACTTATACTACTCTACTTAATAATACATACAAGAGCTGAAACAATTCATTTATTTATTGATTAGTTGATTAACAGAAGATTAATGAGTGACTAATTTAATTATAAATAATTTTTCAATGCGAAGATGCCAAACATTTCAAGGTCCAGGTTCTCAAATGTGTGCATTTACTGCTTTTTAAATTATTTTATTTATTGAAATTTATTTTAAAATAATTTAGTTAATAATAGAGTTTTTGAGTCAGTCAAATCAATTACTAGAGAAAATAATCGGGAGATTAATTTAGAATTAAAATAATTAGTGGCATTCCTGTGTATGTCATTATTTTTTTCCTTTCTCTGCACATTTCCATAATGCTACTTTCTTTCTTTCCTCCTAAACTCTCTGCACAGAAGTTAAACTGTTGGTGTTTTGTGTTGCTTTCTTCAGGGTGTATCGAACAATCTGCGTCTCGATCAAACATCACACTGCTGGCTGCTCCATCTTGCGTCCTCATTAAAGAGTAGACCAATTAATCTGCCATTAGCACAACAGAGAGCAAGTGAGGCCAAGAAGAGATATCGATTATTCAATCCACCTTTCTCCTTCCTCCCCCAGTCCTCCCTCTCTCCCACCCTTTTCCCCAATTATGCAGGAAGAAGCTTAAATTTCGACTGTTGATCAGACTAAACAAGCACTTTGAAAACATCAATTTAGGTTCTGTGAAATTGTAAAGTATATTTTTTACTATTTTCTGACATTTCAAATTGGCATTTTAAAGGGCAACGGAAACACATTTCAGCCCTAAGTGTCTTGAAATCCTTACAAATGAGGAAAAGTGAGAAGCAGCAGTGAGCGAATAAGAGCTCTTACTTCCTCCATCATCACCCATTACTTGCTTCTTTCCTGGACTCAGCAATTAATGTTTGTTTATCAATGAAACCAGAATGGGAGAGAATCCCTTTAAAATGACCTGGCAAGGACACGGAGGAGAAAGACACAATTTTTCTAGGGATTGCAGAGGCTTTTTTTGTTTTTCTCTCACAGTGAAAGAAATCCTCCTGCAGTCTTTTCATTCTGTTTTGTTCCTTTTATCGCTTCCAGCATGGTTGACTTCTTTCTCATAATGAAAGTATTACAGAAATGGCAACAAAAGGCCTTGTTGCTCTAATTCTATTCATATTGTGTTGTAAAAATGTTTTCTAATATCACACAAAACCCACTGAAGCTTCAAATACATACACTAATATATCCACACTGACCTGAAGTCACACACATACACACAAGAATGTAACATACTGTTGGCTTAGGTTTCTTCTTCTTGATTAGTATCAGCCCATTTACCTGTGAGACTCCCTGTCCCAGAGCCAATTATCTTGCCTTATCTGTGTACAGTTTGCTTTTGTGTGAGTTTCTGTGTGCGAGTGTCACACTTTCCTTGTGTCCTCCTATACATTTGGGAGGTGTGTGATTGGCAGGTACGAGTGTGAGAAAGTTCTCCATCAGAAAGGCTACCTGGATCAGTTTCAGGGCCGGGCTGGAGGGCGGGCTGGGCTGCAGGGGGAGAGACAGAGAGAGAGAGAGAGAGAGAGAGAGAGAGAGAGAGAGAGAGAGAGAGAGAGAGAGAGAGAGAGAGGGAGAGCTGGGACACACAGTGGCAGCGTCAGTTCTTTTTGGGCTGAAAGACCCGCTTTATCTGGCCATCTCTGGGAGGTGGAGGGTGGAGGAGGTGGGAGGGAGGGAGGGAGGGAGGGAGGGAGGGAGGGAGAGAGAGTGATCCCCCTGCCCCAGGTGAGGGGATGAACAGGTGAGCATAGGCATTATGAGGAAAGGTGAGCTCTTTCTATCCCCTGCTCTCCCTCACTTGTTCAGTCTTTCCTTCTCTCGTTCTCCCACTAATCCCTTCTGGGAACTGTGTGCAGTCACATGTGTGTGTCTATAGTTGCTGTCATATTTGTCTGTATTTGCTTATGAATGTGAGCATAGTTGTAATTCATTGCGTTGTGTTTGTTTTATGTATGTTATCATGATTGCCTGGAGGTTTTTATCCCTGTTAGGCTGCTGTAAGTCTGTGCTGTGTGCTGATGTCTCTTTTAGTAGTCAGTTATTGTAAAACAAGTCTCAACTATTACTGACATTAATTGATTGAAACTAAAGATCCAGTACGTTGTCGAAAGCAAGGAGGGTTACCGTAAAGACTGGAGGAGCAAAGGATAGCTGTCGATGACCACTAATATACACAGACAGAACTTTTAAAAGAGGATGGCTAACTGTTTCCCCCTGCTCCCAGTCTTTATGCTAAGCTAAGCTAACCACCTCTTGGCTAGAGTATTTTCCAGAGCGTCATTTTTATTTGTCATGGGACTTTATGTTTTTCATGTGCTGGATGATCGTTTAAGCGACACAGAATTGTGCAGATAAATCATCCTGAATCCTTTTTTCAAGTGAAAACTAGAATGGCAGCAGGTTGTGACACCATGTCTCAGCTATTTTCCTTGTCTGGTTTCAGATGTGAAATCCAGATTTAGTTTTGCCTCCTGGACATCAGCAATCTCACAGATAAACTGAGGGACGTGGCTCCATTTTGACCCCAGTGTTAGAATCACAGACACTCAGCGGTCTGGGATGTTTTAGCTGCGGCGCCTCGGCAGAGACGGGAAAAGTTCAAAGACTTCATAACTGCGAGGTCATTTCTTCAAGCCGTCTCCCTGCTGGTGGTTTCACTGTTCAATCTGTTTGGATGTCGAAGGGAAACAGAGCAAACTGCCAAGGGAGAGAGCGCTCAGTTTGTTGGTGATGAATCTGTTTATCTGACAGGAATGGGAACAAGTCAGTGAATGAATCAGGAGGATGAATGAAAAGGCTAAAGAGGAGGCAAGTTGGCAGGTACACAGCACAGAACTAATGACCAGGTGGTGATAGTGCAGAGACAAAGCTCCAGAGGACGTGCTTACTCCTCTACTTGTGTAGATTCAGTGTAAGACCACCGCTTACCAGACATTGTGGGAACTGAATCTCGATGTTTCCTGACCTTTTGTCGCTCAGAACTAGTTCTTCAAGGTCTGGTTAAAGCCAGCTCCTTTGTTAAAACGACCTGTGACAAATGACAATATGATAGGTGGTATAGAAATTCTGAACATGAAGTGAATGGAGTCCTCACCATTTATAATCCTCATGTCAAGTGTTAAAACTCATTCATGCTGAGGTTCACTGCCAGAGGCCATAGATGACTGTTCCTGGGAACGAGTCACATTGGGCTGAGAGTGTGTGCACTAATGTGTCTGTTTGAGTTTTTATTGCACACCAACTTTGATCCTCTTGCCTCTTGTCATTCCAGGCAAATATATCTTGTGCATTTGCATAGATTTTAGGCTATTATGCTAATGCAAAGCTCTTCTGCTCATGCAGCACATTCAGGGCAGATACAGTCAATATATCTCAGTTTGTTCTGATGTTTGGTGTCTATAAGTGAAGAGAGGAGGAGTGTGAGTCAAAATACTGACATTGTTCTTTTAAAATGTTAGTGTTAGTGCTATATTATTCTGTCACATCATATACAATAGTAACAATAGTTACTGCAAACATACTCAGATCTTTTGTTTTGGTAAAAGTACTAAAAGTATGATAAAAATGCTCTGTAGTGCTTTTGTAGTTTCCCCTCAGCTCTACGAAACGTTTTAGGATCTTTCAGCTACACTGTTTTGGTTTTGCGGCCTGCAACTTTACTGTTGTGGTTCACTCTCACCGCTCTCATTGGCATTTTTTGTTTTGTTTTTTAGCAGATACAAGCAGCTGTTTTACACAACCTGGTCGGCACACAGACAGTTAACATCAAGCTGGTGAACACAGTGGAGCATTTAGCAGCCTGATATTTCCTTTAGGAGTTGATAGAGATCAAAAACTAGATAAGAGAGAGTGAATATCGGACTCACATTCATCCGGTGGACACAAACACGACACAATCAATGCTGATGTTGCTCCTGATGTAGCTGGCAGATGTGGAGCTATATGCTTTATATGCTTTTGATAGTTTGATCTGTAACAATATATCATATAATCTGAAATAATATATAGTAAAAAGTATGATACAATATTTCACTTGATTTAATTTAATGGAGGTATAAAAAAAAGTATAAAATGGAAATATTCAAATGTGCAGGTGCCTCATAAAGGACGCTGTGTAGGATTTAGTGACATCTAGCGGTGAGGTCGCAGATTGCAACTAACTGAACATTGCTCGCATCTGTATTTTATGACCTGGGAATAAGAACAGGCTGTGAAGTGTGTAGGACAAACAATGGCTGCGAAACTCAAATAACTCTATATACAGCCAGTGTTTGTCCATTCTGGGCTACTGCAGAAACATGGCGGTCCAACAGGGCGGACTCTGTGGAGTTTAAGAAGTTGATAACGATAAGCAGACTGCGCTAGCTAGTTGAAAAGTTCCTCTACTTCCTCTTTAAAACTGAAAACCCAATAGTAAACTGTACAGAACAAATGGATGGAGCGTGAGTTTTACCACACAGTGAAGCGATTCGCTGAATTAAAAACCGAACCGACAACTGTGTGATTGAAATCAAATAAGATTTTAAAGAACTGCAATTCATAATATTTAACTCAACGATAGTGTATTCACTTCTTTCTAGATG